AAAGAGGATACTCTGTAAGTTGCAAAGGAGGGGTTTGGACCATGCAGGGGAGAAGGAGTTGGGTGGAAGTAAACCCCCCTCCTCTTCACAAATTTGCGGCTCTTCCAGGGCATTGTCCAGAGAAAGGGGCACTGTAGAGGGAGATGCAGTCCCAGACTCTATCTCTGTGCTGAAGGAGATGGACAAAGATAAAAAGAAATAATTTTAAAAGTGGCTAGTTCTGAAGTGATTGATTAACTTTCTTAATTATACCTCTTTCCAGAAATAAAACTTGAGACAGACCCCTGACTATATCACATAAGTTCCTATTTTTGTAAAAACAACGATAACAACAAAAATTAGCATATGGAACCCTGAAACAGGCAGAAATTTGGAAGAGGAGGGTTTCATAAGCATCAATATCAAGTCCAGAGTTTATTCAGCAAGACAACTGGCACACAGGTCACTCTTGCAATATTTGGATCAATGAGAGACTCCTTGTTGCATAGAGTACTCACACAGGGGAATACCCTACCTATCCCCAAATAATGAGTTGACTAAGCAAAAGGAGCTTCTCCAAAAGGAACTACCATCTAAAGTGTGACAGCACAGAACAGTGGGGAAGGGGAAGAGAACACCTGCCATTGGAAAATACACTAGGATTGTATGTTTTCTTTCTTTTGTTTTAATTAATCAGTTGCAGAAATGTATTTTGATCATAACCTTGGAAATTCAAATCTTGTTAATAATCGTTCCCCCCCCCCAGTTGACATATTCCACTTATTTTTAATATAACTTTTATTGATATAACAAGGGAATTACAATTTAAGTAACAAATAAGTATAACACATTTACACACACAATACCTAATTATGACCATTGCTAAAAAATAATAATCCAAATTTCATTTCTTACCTCCAGTTTCTGAAAGTTTGCCTCTGTAAATTTTATCCTCTACCACATCTGTCCAGTACAGCAAACTCTGATTGAAATGAAAATCAAGTGCTATTGTATTTCTCAGACCAGGAACTAATAAGCTGTAGTCCCGCTTCTGAAGATCGATCTTTCTGATCTCATGGCGAATGGAAAAAATTATGAAAGCTTCAAATGGCTCTAAAAATACAATGAATTTTCTTGTAAAATGTATTAGACAATGATAAAATTCATTCATTTACTTACAAAATTTAAATGTAGAATACTTATAACATAATTTGCATTACTACACTAATTTTCCCATAACATTTTCTCAAACACAGCTCAAATACAACCTTTGCTCATTTATTAATTCTGACATTGCTAATAGAAGAAGCAGACTGACAGTATAATCCTAAGAAGAATTATGCCCTTTAAAACCCATTGACTTGGATGGCTTTAGAAGGTTGTAACTATACTTAGGACAGCACAGTAGGCAATCTGTGAGTCATAGTTTTAATACAGTAAACTGTGACTATGGGTGACAGCTCAGAAAGTTAAGTGCTATGGGGAGGAACCCTGTGTTGTAAAAAAAAAGTTCTGATTGAAGGTGGTTAGAGTGTTACACTGGAATCTGGGACATCAAGATTTGAATTGTCACTCTGCCATGATGCTCACTGAGTGTCATAGGCCAGCCAGCTGCCACCTTCTCTTCGGAAGAGGAATTGGAAGAATTGGGCCCCACACCAATGGAAATCCCACCTGAGCAGCTGAGTCCAGCAGCCGACCCAATGGGGGAAACATCAAAAAGCAAGACCACTCCCCAATCATGGCGAGGCTACTTAGTCTTCCAAGAGAAGAAAAAGATGCCATAGAGGCCGGTGTCTCCATCTCCACCAGTCTCTCCTGAACCAGCAGAGCATAGGAGGGAGTGTTTGACTGCTCTAGAGAGAAGATGAAGTGCTCACCTGATTGGTCAGAAACAATCAGTGTTAATGCATGAGGTGGAGTCCTTGCAGGACCAGGACTGACAGGCTGATAGGGAAAAAGTAAAGACCTGCATTTGTAGGAAGGTGAACATGACTTTAAGGAGCAACACTTGGGTCTCGGGGCATGAGTCAGCAAAGGAGGCAAATAAAAGGAAAGTTTGACATGGAAGCAACCTTCCTTGTGACAACTCCGTGAAGCTGACCTGCTTAACAAACAGAGCTCTACTCTGACTTGTTGCCTTGTACCTTGTTGTTGGTAACCCATGATTGCTCCTTCAAACTGGGACTCAGACCCTGCATCCCACACCTGTTCCCCAGCCCTGGAACCAGATTTCTGAACCCTCAGACCTCCTTACCCTGACCCTTGGGCTGGACTTTAAAATTTAAAAGTTGGCAGTTGTATATAATGGCTGCACTCTAAATATTCATCAAGATGTGATAAATAAATTTAAAAGTTCAAATTTATTTATATTTCTATTGCAATTTTTTCAGATTTTCATGGGAACAGTTTATTTTTTATTAATATACTGATCTTGTTTAGGATAGGTTTTGTTTTTGGGGGGTTTTTTTTTGGGGGGGGGAAATGGGAACGCATGCTCAATAGTTGAGCAAATGTCCTGTTGATACCAAATGGAACATACAAGTCCCTTGAAAGGACACCACATATCACTAGAATGATGTCCTCAACACAAATTAAAACAATTTTACTACTATTACAAGCAATAATTAAGTAACCAGAACATCTCAGTGTATTCCTGAAGTTGTGCATTTCTATTTCATAAGAGTTCATAATAGAAAGCACCATTAGAGTACAAAGATGTAAATACATGGTGTTCCTTTGCATATTTCAGATCATTGGATCTGGTTATCTCAAACACTGCTGTATGTTTTTGAATAAATGTTGTCTTCTAATCTGGGAATGGTGTGTGTGAAACACAAATTAAAACAATTATATTGGAAAAGATAGCATTTCTATAGCATTTAGCATTTCTAAAGCTGGGCAGACTGAATATAATAAATCCAATGTGACACCCATTCTGATAAAAACACCACTTCTGGCTACACCCATAGACAGCACAATAATGAGTCTCTAATCTCCAGATCTGGTCTTGCTGGATATTTGATAGTTGTAACTGTCATCAATATGCAATATGCATTTCTTAATCTATCATTCTGCAAAGCTTTGTAATTATATGACAGTTTTTCATAGACTGTAAATAATTCTGCAAAACCCTGTCTGAAAGAAATTTAAGAGTTAATGGACATATAAGAGTGCATGATAATCCAGATACAATGCTTTTCCAATGTGAACGGCCTTAGTTTGTTCCCCTTAAATTTTCATAAAAAGAGTTCTATGGTAGTGGATAGACTGTAATGTCAACTTACCAATATTATCACAGCTTTCACCATCTTTATTGAGTGTCCAACCTTCATAACAGGAGCACTTAACAGTATTTTTTTGTTGTTCACACACTTGGCTGCACTTTTGGTGTTTAGCGCAATAATCCATAAATTCACAGGATTTATTGTCTGGATTTAAGTACAGTTCTGGAGGGCAGGAACACACAATTCTACCACCAGGAACTACTGAACACTGGTGGCTGCAGCCACCATTGTTAAGTGAACATTCATCTGAAATAAAATCAAAAGCCTATCAACAACTTCTCAGCCATACAACACAATTTTGTAAGTAGAAGCATGGATACAGCAAGATTTGTAAGAAATAGTACGGAAAAATCTAATAGATTTGCAATAGAATTTAGTGGTATTAAGACTGGAAAAAATAAAAAGAGAAAATTTCTTCAGGAACAATTCAGAAGCATATATGAAATTAATACAGGACAAATTACATGGCCTCATGAATTGGAGTAACAGCAATGAAATTCATTAGTATCAAATGCATCTCAGGAGTAATAATAAATATTTGATTTTGTTACTTGGGGGATTTATTGGATGTGTTTTTCTCAGAACCATTTTTTCCCTTGAGCTTGGTACCTTGAATAATCAGTCTATGGGCAACTGATATTTGCTTTGTACCAGTTGGTTAGCTGAACCATGATCTGATCACTCCTAGCTTTATGATTCCATTTTTTGTTACTTGGGGGATTTATTGGATGTGTTTTTCTCAGAACCATTTTTTCCCTTGAGCTTGGTACCTTGAATAATCAGTCTATGGGCAACTGATATTTGCTTTGTACCAGTTGGTTAGCTGAACCATGATCTGATCACTCCTAGCTTTATGATTCCATTTTTTATTATGAAAAGGCAGTGAAAGAAAAATTTCAGTGCAGAGGTGGGAGGATTCTGGCAGGTGTATTAGGCTGCGGTCAAATGTGCCTTTAGATCCAACATAGCTACGAATGACTGACAGATCTAAAAGGCATGATCAGACTGCAATATCTGAGAAAGGTCCTGCAATTGTCAGCTCATCCTGCCCTACCACAGAAACAAAGTTAAAAGACACGAGGGAAAGTCCAGTCCTAACACTTGCCAATGGGCCACGAACCGACTTTCCCCTGTCTGATCATTCAAGCGTGCTCTCTA